ATAGGAAATTTATATACACATTTATTTAGTGTCGCAATTAACCAGAGTCATAAAAACAAAACCCCTTATTATAAAATAGCATCATATTATAAAAAGGCATCTTTGGATTTGGATCTTTGGAAGATTGCTTTGGAAAAAAGCTCTTCTTTTTTAAAAACAGATTTAGTATAATTATCAATCGTAGATATAAAAAATATATTGTATGTGGAGAACATGTCTGGTTTATTAACATAATTAAAGAAGTATTTTAATTTGATTAACCTTTCAAGGTGCATATCTTCACTAAGCTTTTTGGTTATGATTGTGAACCCAGATTTTGCTATTAAAAAAATACTATTTCTTTTTCCTGTACTAATTTTAGTTTTCTTTTCTTGAGTTGTTACATTGTGATTAAGTTGTAATTTATCCTCTAATCTTTTGACAGTCTGAGATATAACATATCTTCCTGAGTGTACAACTTTTTTTAAACATCATAAGTAATTTTCAAATTGATAAGCAGATAGCTCATTTAAAGACTTATTATAATTTAAAACATCATCAGGTATATGTATTAGAGAATGTACATTATAAGATAAGTTTCTCCATAAAGTAAAATAGCCTCATTAGTAAACCAATAAAATAACTTTTTTGAAAATATAGCATAGCAACATTTTTGTTTAATGAAAATATCAGAAAGAAGTATACGTGTAGCAATTGATAGAGCCAGAAACAAGTTGTATTCTTTTTCAGAGATCTTACCTTTTAGTACAACTAATCAAGAGTACAGAAGAATCAAACGAAACTCTTCAGCCTTGAATTATAACAAGTCATCTAGTTTTCTTGCAGTGCGTTGAAATTCCGAAGGGGGCTGTTCAATATGAAGCGTTTTAGCTGATATTTGATCAATTACATTTTTACAATTACATTACGTTTAATCTATGGGTTAAAGATCTTCTCACCCAGTTGTGTAATAATCTTTTCACAACTCCTAAACATATCAGATGCATATAATCCAATGTAAATCCACTTACCATAGGAAAAACTAAAGAAAGTAATGTGGAGAGTGGTTTGTGTTAATGTAAATCATAAACACCACATTTAAAATTTGTATCTGATCTAAGTGGTGCTGATTTACCGAACAGTCTTACACCTTGTTTAAATAGATCATGTTCTTTACATCTTCCACAAGAGTTGTATCCGCTATGACCTTGAATACACTTTAAAAATGCTCTTGCTGGAGTGTCACATATAAAAGCAGTTAAACTGACAGGAAAATAAATATTATTATATTCTTACCCTTTATTCAACAAATGTTTCAATTCTTCAACAAACTCTTGAAGGTAGCAAGAAATATTGTTAGGCTTCATTTTAGCATACCATAAAGCTACCAAATATGGTGAACTTTTATTAATTTTGATCAGAATTGGCATTGACTTGAATATACCCTCACCCCATCTATATTAACTGTCAGCTCTAAAAGCTTCTTTACACCTTTTGTGCTAGTTAAATAATGTAATAAAGCTATCACGTAATGTTTTCTTTAATATTCTGTTATCTCTTGGTAAACCTGGTATAACACTATTTAAATAAATTAAAAGTTTACTTAAGAAAGCAGTTTTAATGTTATGCTTTAAAGACCATGTTCGCAGAAAAGATATGGTTGTTACACCTTTATTAGCTATTTCCGTATTTTCATTTACATCTGCTTCCCTGTTGTATAGTTTTTCATTATCCAAGGAATCAATATCATAGGAAACGCTCTCATCTTCATCGGATAAAATATAGTTACAAGAAAGATTATTTATGCTGTCAGAGTCAGAGGAATAACAATTTATCAAATTTTGCTCAGCAAAGGACAACATTTTCAACTGATTGTCGATGATTAGTTTCAATTGGAATTTTCTTGATGTTATTTTCTACAGTGGAATCTATTGAAGTTGAAGCAACTGAAAAAACTTTTTTATCTTTATAATCTTCTTTTAATAAGTCATTAAAATATAAAATAAAAAAATGATTGAATATAAATGGTTTACCATAGTACAAAATGGAAACAATTTTTTTCTTATAACCCTGTAAGAAACATTTGAACTAATAAAAATTATATTATTTTATTAGTTCTACATTTCAATGTAATTAAACAAAAATTAGATGCGCTATAAAAGATAACATTATCTGCTAAGGAAAAGGTTCTAAAACTTTGAAACACATCAATAGTTGTAAAATTTTAAAACATATCAAGAATAAAAGAAAAAAAAGTCTCTCACTATATAATTCAATAATGACAAAAGTCATTATAATATTAATGAAAAAAGTCATTATAGTATTAATGACAAAAGTCATTATAATATTAATGACAAAAGTCATTAATATTAGAATTTAAATTTAAAAAATGTCTCTCACCTTTATATTTAATAAAAATTAACACGTTAAAAGTATTAATATTAGATTTTTAATTTGATAACTTATGGCTGAATGCAACATGTCTAAAGTAGAAAGTTCTATACAAACATAAACAAGCAATATATGAACTTAGTTGTAACTAACACAAAAAACTACAAGTAAAAAAATATATATAGTTTTAAAAGTAATTTAAACTTACAGAGTGATATAGCTTGACACGTGTCTAAAATAGCAAATTATAAAAGCATATTCAAACTTAAATACAAGTAAACATTTTAAAACTGATTTATTTTACAACTGATGAAACTTAAAGTGTGATATTGCATGCCAAGTGCCTAAATTAGTCAATTAAAATAGCATATAAACAAATTATATGTAAACTGCAATGAGTTTAAATAAATATACCGATTAAAATAGATGCAAGTAAACAATTTGACACGTCATGTCTGAATGCCACATGTCTAAAGTTGCAGGTTCTACACAAATATGAACAAACAATATATAAATTTATTTTTAACTAACATAAAATAGTTGCTAGTAAAAAAAAAAAAAGTTTTACAACTAAATTAAACTTACAGTGTGATATAGCATGACACATGTCTAAAATACTAAATTGTAAAACTTAAATATACAAATTATAACAATCTATATTTAAACTTTGTTGTTACCAGCCTAAGAAAATACCCATAAAAAAAAATGCAAGTAAACATTTTACAACTGATTTATTTTACAACCGATGAAACTTACAGAGTGATATTGCTTGCCACGTTTCTATTCAAATTGCAAATTATAAAAGCATATAAACTAGCACTTTGTAAACATAGTTGCACCTAACCTAAATAATGATACCCATAAAAAGAAATGTTAACATTTTTAATTTTTCAACCGATTTAAATCGTAAGTTACTACATTTAAATCGTAAAAATACTATATTTAAATCGTAAGTTACTACATGCCACGATTTAAAAAAAAAAATTAAACAACCCAGTGGACACCGGACCAAAAAAAGACGTTATTTGAACGTTCAAAAGACGTTCAAAACGTTCAAAAGAGGTCCAAAATTTGTATGAGACGTTTAAAACACGACTTTTTTACGTCCGTGTCCACTGGGAAGAATAAATAAAAGTCATATAGTTTGTATTATAGAAATATTTGTTTAACTAACATCTTAGTTTATCAAATAAAAAAAGTTAAAAAATATACACAATACTTTATAAAGAAAATTTAAAATAAATTTTACAACCACCAAAAATACAAATAACAGAGTGTATTTTAAACTGTGTTCATCCATTTGCTTTCTCTTCTAAAATTTAGTTAAAAAAAGCTAATGAATAAACACAATTTAAATTACTCTTTTTTTAAATAGCTTCACATTTAGTCGAAATGTGAAGCTATTTAAATAATGGAAAATTAAATTTCCTTAAATAGACCTTTTATCTAAGACTTAATTGTGGTTTAAGAACAACAATTTTTAATACTTTGTCATTTATAAATTAAGAACTAAAATATATTGATAAATCTAAATCAAACAAACAGGATTTAAAAATATAATCTGCAGAGGAAGAATTTTATGGGAACCCTTTTTAATAAAAACGGGTTCAAATATTTAATCCGTTTAATTAAAGAAATTTTGAAGAATCCGTTAGTAGTTAATTTAACTCTGTTAATTTTGTGATTTTTGCTTGCGATTTACTTTGTTAAATTTAGGGATCCAATGCCTTTTCTAACGGATTGTTTTTAGAGTGCGAAAAAAAAAATTAAAAAAAAATCTATAACAAATCATAGAAAGAGTTTTAAAAAAAAATAGAGAAAAAAAAAAAAAAAAATCTAAACTAGCGGGCGTAGAGACACTTAAAACTATCAAGAAAGTAGTAGATACGTTATTTAGTTGATACATTGTAGTGATACATTATTTTTTTGAGAATTTTACTGATATTTGATTATGATATTGTTCTTTAGTTGTTATAGTCAAATTTTATGTCCTTTTTATGGATTGGTTTAACAAATGCAGTTTTTTCAAAATATTAGGGAATATATCAGTAGTAAATGAGAAATTAAATAGTTTAGAAAACACCGAAGAAGTATCATTAACAAGAGTTTTCAGATCATAGGTTGAAACACTGTTTGGACCAGAAGCCTTGCCATAATTTAGAGAAAGAATAACTGATATTATTTCATTTTTTTCAGTAGGTTTAATGAAAAAAAAGTCAGATGCTTTTATAATCTATAAAGTAAAACATATAAAAGTAAAAAGCATGTAAAGTAAAGTACAATAGTAGGACTATTAAAAAGCAGATAAGTAAAGTATAATACTTTAATAAAGTAAATTATAAAACACAATTAAAAAAACACATCTCATTTGATATAAAAACGCTCAATATGAAAAGGCATATATGTCACAAATAAAGACAAAAAGAAACTTATACTTTACAAAATTGTGTTGAAATTTAATGCGCCGATTCGCAAATAATACAAAAAAAAAAAACATATTTTACTTGCCGTAAAAACCTGCAGAAAATGACTTTTTTTCATATATAGATGTCTAATTTAATATATAGACGTCTAATTTAAATCACATTCATTGTTTCAACATTTTGTTAATTTGTTTATTTTATTTGTAGGGAACGCTTAAAAAGACCGAGTTGATGATGTAAAAAATGTGGAACAGGCACAAATAAAAATATTTTGTATAAAAATCAACATCCATATGTAAATTTGTATAACTGTAATAGTATTATACAATGAAGAATAAATTTTGTTTTACAAATATGTAGTTTGTTAGATTATAAAAATTTATTATTATTTAACACGTTTACAGATGATCTACCAAGTTATTTTTACTTGTACTTTAATAGTACTGCAACTTAAAAGTATCATTTGCTATTTAAACAAAGACAGAAACCATATTTAAATTGCTGTATTGTATTCAGTTTACAACTTCGACATATATTTTCATTTCTGATACTTTTAACCCGTTCAAAAAATAGCTCATAAATACCAAATTTTATAATTACTATGAATACTTTTATAAATACAAGATAAAAGAGTCAGTGGTAAGGGTTTAACTGAAACTCTTGGCAGTTTTGAAAAACCTGTACTGTTTTCTAAAATTTTACAAATTATTTCTAATACTGATAACATGGGAAAAAAAAATATTTTGCTATATCTTAGTAATTTATAAAATTTTATTGTTCTTCTGCTTAGTTTTTTTTTATGTGGTTGAGAGAAGTAGACGACCAGAAAAATTTAAAGAAAATAGCATATCCGATAAGTTTACAACATACATTAATGTAGTATACTTCTTTATTGTATCTGGACATGAAATATAAATGTGTTTATCATTTTTGTAACTCATTCTGTTAATATTATAAAATTCTAAAGGATTACTAAAGTTTAATAAAAGGTGAACACATTTTTTTTATACCCAGCCACTATTGCTTTAATGGATTTGCAGTGAAAACGCCTAAATAGGCATTTTTAACAGTTCATTAGAGTTTTCTCATTGTTAAACTTCATTTTCCATATAAAAATTGATGACTAAAACTATAACAGTTTGTTCAAAATGCTTATAGAGGTTTGTTGAAATTTCGCTGTAAAATGTTAACTGGGTATAGATCCTTTTCTGATAAAAGGATCACAATATTTTATTCTGTCTATTTTTATAGAAGAAGCAGCTAAAAGGCTTAAAAATTCAAATATTAGTTAAAAAAATATAAACGAGTTATCAAATCCTTAAAACAAAATCTCTCAACGTTTTAAACGTTTTTTTTTAAAAAGAACTTCATTTGAGCCAAGTGGAGTAAAGTGAACTAATTGTCTTAGAAGATTCGGATGTTATATTATCTAGAGTGTTAATAAATGAGATATAAGCGTTTAAAAAAGTTGGAAAAGAATTTGCACGTGTAAGTGCTTCATAATTAAGTATTTCAATAAATTTTTTACCTGGGTTAGTTTTGCTACCATTTATCCGTACACAATTGTCATTGAATCATTTGACAGAAGGAAAACTGAAATTTCCGCCGATGAGAAGGTCTTGATACTTTTTATTTTTAACAGCAGTGTTTGCGGCTGCAACTGATTTAGTATTTAATTATTAATTGCAGAATTCCGAAACATAATGTAGGAATTCATTTTTGTGGAGGCCTGTAAATAAAATCAAAAATAATGAATTCACTGCTGGATTTAACAGAGCACCAGATCTGTTAATAAGCAATAATTTTTAGGTACTATTAAAAAAATTCTTTTAACTTGAGATGAAATAAAATTTTTAATGACATCTGTTGCTACTCTGCTTATAACATACCAAGAATTTCTATTTGACTTATATAGATGATATCCATGAAGATTGCATGGATATCATCTATATAAGTCAAATAGAAATTCTTTTGACTTAAATAGATGATAAAATGGAACTATAGTGAAGCCGTGTTTCAGCTATACATATTTTATACGAATTTTTGATTCATAATTTTAGTTCAGAGAGCTTAGCTCTCGTTGAGGAAGAGGTATTATAGTTTGCATTTAAGTCGCCTTTAAAATAAATTGTTATCATTTAGTTGAGACTATATGTGCTGTACGTTTTTGAGTTGGAGTTGATGCATTTTTGAAGAAAAGCTTAGAACATTTGGTTCTTTAGAAAAACAATACTCAAAATTTCAACAATCAGGTGGAATAAAACGTAATCCTACAGATTTTTGTAACTTTACTATTCCTCCATTGATACACGCAAAAACCATCAACCACTTAGTAGCAAATTATTTTTTTCACCAGGAGTTACACCTAATTGAGGGAGCTGTTAATCATATTTATAATCATATAGGGAAATGTGGTGGTGAAAAAGAAGTTGCTTAAGTGTCAAAGATTTTAAACATTTCAAAAGAGGTCTAGAATAATGCCTTTAATGGCAACACCTCCCGTAAATCTGTAAAATCCTGAAAAATTATGATAAGTACATGAGTGCTTTGCCAATAAACTTAAAACCATTAACAGATGGGCTTAAAATATGAAACAATTTGGTTGAGTCTTGTTTTGGAAAAAAAACATCATAATTTTTAAACACAAAAAAATTCAAAAATTACTATAATGCACTGGTTAAATATTATGGAACAACTGTTTCATCGGATATATAATTGATTTTAAAACATATAAGTGTTTTTTGTGCAGTAAGAGGGTGTGGGTTAGGCTGCTACTTTAAAAAGCTGTTGAAACAATTCATTAAAGCTTTGTTATTGAATCTTTAAACGGATTTAAAGTTTTCAAAAACTTTTTTCAAGGATATAGATAAATCTAATGAACTATTATTGAAAATAAGGTCATTTTCAGAACAGGTAACATTGTTATTAACAGGAGCTACTGATAAAGTTGAATTGTTTTTCAAATTTTTTGTATACCTATTTCCATGAAATCTTTTGCTATGCGTGTTGCTAAGCAGATCAAATTTACCCAATTGAAGGAAACCTTTTATATCTCAAAATTTAAGCCTTATTTTTAAAAAGAGTTTTCAAATTTGGATTCAGCGATAAATTTCGTGTAAGAAATACACAAATTAATTTTTTTTTATTTTTTAGGAATTATGAGGGGTCTTATACCTTAAGTTACTAATGCTTGAAAATTTTCAATTTATATTGTCAGTATATTATTTTTAATTTATCGTAATAAATAAATATTTAATATTATTATAATTACATAAAAGTATTTTCATTTCGATTTTAATATAATTTTGACAAAAAAGTTTTAGCTTTGAAAAACTATTTATACATATATATTACACTTTAATAAACATCCTTTGTGTGATGTCACACACGTAACAAAAAAAATGAATATTATTATTTGTGAGCAAACTATAATGCTTTTTTTGAAAATACTTTTAATGAAAGTATTGAAAAAACAAAATAAATTTTTTTTTTGAAAATGTGGTAAAATAATTTAAAAAAATTATAAAAAGTTTGGTAACACACGTAACATAGTTTTATATATAGTGATACATGTGTGATATAAACAGGTAAGATCATTAAGTTTTAAAAATCAAAATAAATAATTGATAAGGATTGGGTCTAAATCATAAATACTAAATATGACTTTTTTTTGAGTTTAAATGTTTTTAACATTTAAACTCAAAAAAAAGACAATAATGTTTATATATATATTACTTTTTAAAAAATTATTCTTAATTTTTTAAATAAATTTAACAAGAAAACAACCATTGTAGTATTTGAAAGTAATTTCAGTTTGAATTAGCTTAAAAATACGAATTAAATAATTATATCTTATTGATTCGAAGGTCTTTGTAAATTTTATTTGTTTCCTGCTTCAAGTTTAGGCTAATATATAATAAAAATAAAAATGTCTTGAGCTGAGAAATTAAAAATCTTCATTAATTTTCATTAAACAAAGAATATTGTTTAATGAAAATTAAAAGAATTAAGAATATGTGAAAAATAAAAGTTGAAAAAATAGACAGTACAGAAAAGGATTTATATAAAGAAAAAAAGAATAATGAAAAGAGAAAAAACCTGCAAAAATATTTTTTGACAATGTTTTTTAAATAGGCTTACTCTATTTTTCAATCAACCAATGGAGAGATGATGCCTTTTTCTATATTTTGTAAGCTAAGTCCAAAAGTTTTACTTTTTATTTAGAAGAAACACCCACGGACCAGTGTATGTGAAAACTGCATTTTGCAATGAACAAAAACAGCAACTGCGAATTTGCAACTGCAAGTGAGAACTTTTGCTTATAACTTAAAGTTCATATTGGGTGTCTTTAATTACAATTCAAAAATGGGTTTATGATGAATGATAAAAATGGAAGCATAAGAGAAGTAATAGAGGAACTACTATTTACTTTATTACTATTCACTATTGTACTGTTTTCAACAATAATAATTGCAAAACATATCTTATTTGTTCAAACACTAGAGACAAAGGAAAAGATAGTGTTTACTGTTTTATTAGGTAATTAAATGAGATACTTATGTCTGAAAATTTTAACAATTATACTGAAACTATTTCTACCGATGATCTATCATCAAATTTTTATAATAAGTTTATGATGGATATACTTAACCAATTATCTTTGCAATAAGATAAAACATCTAAGTAAATTTTATTGCAACTTACATAGAAAAGGGGATTTAGATTGCGTTGGAGGAAGATTTAAATCTCTTGTTCGAATGAAATGTATAAGCAAGAATTTGAAATTGTGTGCATAAACGTCGATGAATTTTCTCAGTGTTATCAAACCATTTATGACAGCTATTAACATTCTCTATTAGCAATGATGAAATCATTAGAAATGTAGACAACAACAAAATCTCGGTTAGAAATCAAAAAAACACTGAGAATACTAAAAATTCATTATATCAATTCTTCTAATGAATGCAATTTATTTTTCAAAACAAGCGACTCAAAGAAATCTTAAGTTTTGAAATAATTTCCAAATCTCCAGAAATGGCTTTTAGTGATTGGTGCCTTGTAAAAAACAAACTTAAAAAAAAACTGTTTAACAAAAGTGCTACTCAGTTTGGTCTTTATTTCAGTTATGCTAAAAAAGTTAAAAAAAAAAAAATTGTTTCAACTTTATTAAATTGTTAAAAATTTGTACAGTATCATATGCGTAATAAAATGTGTCACACGCGTAACAAAATTTGTCACACACGTAACACTAAAGACTTTCGTTTATTTTAATGAAGTTGTTGAAGTTTTTTTAAAAATTAAAGTAGTTTTTAATAACATCAACATGTTGTCAGTAACATGAATAAAAATCATCAAACCAATCATAGCCAATTAGCAGAAATATTCTATCAAAGTTTAAATTTCAAGTTTATAGTTTTGTACGCGTCACACTCAAAACGCAACTAATCAGTACTTTCACAAGTACGGACAACTAGCATATTTTTAAAAGAACTATTATTTTATATCAGACACATCTCCTACTATAATATTTGCAATACATACGTTGCATATCTGTGGTAAATATTTTTTTATGGCCTTTTTTCTTTGAAAATATTTGTACCAGAGTCACACACGCAAAAATCGCCCTCATTAGAAATATCTAACTTTACGTAAGTATAGTTACAGTCAAATTTTGGCTAAATAGTAATATGCTTTTACTTTGCTAATATTTGAAGATATATTAAAGAAAAATATGAACATATGAAAAATAATAACAAGGTTTCTTATAATCCTATAAGACTTGCAATGCAAATACTATCTTACAAATACTAAAAGCTATCCTCCTGAGACTTGCAAGGCAAATAAAATCTTACGAATTCTAAAAGATATCCTCTATGATAATGAATGAATATTGCAATCCTATAAGACTTCTAAGTTGTCTTTAAGACAGTATACCAGGGTCAAGACAAACATCAAACATTGAAATTAAAAAATTTTTGAGTAGTTAAGTTAAATTTCATTCAAATTTAGTTGCTTGTAAAACACATACTGACTGATTTAACTTTGTAGAAACTATTGTTGGCAGTGACCCTTCTGATTTAGTGAAAGGAAAACTAATTGCAGAGATACCAAAGCTTGATAAAGAGTATTTGGTTTCATTTGATGTCTATCCGACTAAGTTTGTTGCTGGTCAGCATAGTGTTATTCGCTTTTCAATTGGTTCTGATTTGGGTCGTTGCGGTGATTGTTTTCCTGGTATTTGGTTTAATGCTGATAGAAAAGGTGATCTTCATGTTTTGGCACCAATTAATGGTAACTTTGACAGATATTTTAACACAAATCTAATTGAATTAAATCAGTATTCTAACGTTGTAGTTAGTCAATTTTTAGGAGACTCAGTTTATGTATACACAATCAGAATAAATGAAGAAATCGTCTTTACTGAAAAAAATAACCAAGTTCAAAGTTTTGATAATGTTAAAGTATGCGCATCAGATCCTTGGTACGATGTTTAATATGGTTGAATAAAAGATTTTTTTGTTATCAATGGTATAACAACCCAGCAAACTCGCCATGCTTGGCCCATGCATGGCCCACCATCGGTGCCATGACTGGCCCACCATCGGCCGACAATCATGGCCCAATCCCAGTGTTGCACACCGTTTATTGCGTTGAGCCGTTGTTTTGCCAGTGATCATTTTTACGCTACTTTAGGTTGATTTTATTTGCTTTTTAATATGTATTGCTATTTTTATAAATAAACAATACTTAAATAAATGCGAGATTGTAACTTAAGCAAGCAAATGCAAGATTTTAACTTAGAGATTTTAACGTAAAATAAGTAAGAAAGAAAAAGATAAAGCGGGGTGATGTTTGACTACTTAAAGTCTCCTGGGTGATAAAAAAAAGAATGTGGGATATTTTTAACTATAAACATACCGTCATTTTAGCAGTACAATTTATATTACCAAATATTTTTATTTCAATAAAATATTCTTTCAATACAATACATATAAAAGTTTAAGGTTAGCGAGAAGTTAAACTTCTACAATAATTCCAACTTGATGTTTGCATGAGCTAACGTTTGATACTTCTCGATTTATCTATATTTGTTTCCTGCAGAGCCCCATCTGAAAGATTTAGTAATTACAAAAGTTAAAAAAATAGCCAAAAGTCAAGAAATCGTAAAATAAGTATAAAATTGTAACGTAAATAACTAAAAATAAAGTAATTGCAAAACAAACTATACAAGTTAGTAATAACATTAAATAAGTAATAAATATTTTTTAATATAATTCTTTATTCTATATTATAAGTAATAATATACTTTTTTTGCACACTTTGCTAATAAGATCTAATAAGATAAATAGATTGAACTTGTTTACCCTAAAATAAATGTTATAATTGTATTTACTGTTTATACTTTTATATAAAATTCGTCTTAAAAATCTAACCTGTCCTGTTATTTGGTGTCAAATGAAATAAATCATGCATTTGTATAAAACGCCAACAACATAATAAAAGTATTTAAAAATAAATACTTTTAGAAATAAAATTCAAAAGAAAAATATTTAAAAAAACCTTGTGAATATGCAACTTCTACTTTACTCTCTAAAAATTTAAGATTTTAAACCAATAAATTTCAAAAATTACTTTTTTTCCACAAAGAAAAGCCTTAAATTGTTTGTTATCTCTCTCTCTCTCTCTCTCTCTCTCTCTCTCTCTCTCTCTCTCTATATATATATATATATATATATATATATATATATATATATATATATATATATATATATATATATATATATACATATATATATATATATATATATATATATATATATATATATATATATATATATATATATACAAATATATATATATATATACAAATATATATATATATATATATATATATATATATATATATATATATATATATATATATATATATATATACAAATATATATATATATATATATATATATATATATATATATATATATATATATATATATATATATATATATATATATATCCTTATAGTGTAGTCGAAAGAAAGTCTTTTAATGTAAAAAAAGTCTCTTTCGACTACAATTTTAATTACCTCGTCTCTTAAGCTGTTTTTGATTGTCGTCGAAATGTCAAAGCAATTAAATTAATGCGGAAGTACATTAAATTTTATTGTTTTTTTAAAAAATTTTAAAAAACCGCAATTATAACGACTAGAAAGTTTTTTTTAATTAGTGGTGTTTCTGTTTTTGTTTTATTAAAAAACATTTTTAAAACATGCGTTATATATATATATATATATATATATATATATATATATATATATATATATATATATATATATATATATATATATATATATATATATATATATATATATATATATATATATATATATATATATATATATATATATATATATATATATATATATATATATATATATATATATATATATATATATATATATATATACATATATATTTATTTATATATATATATTTATTTATGTATATACATATATATATATAGTGTAATCTTTAAAGAAAAAATAAATAAAAAAACAAATAAAAAAATTAGGAAGAAAATTTTCACTGATTTTTATCTATATATAAAAATCTATATTAAATATAAAAATAAATGTTTTTTGATGTCAAGTCCTTTATCATCTTTTTTAACAATGCCTTTGTGCGGCAACTTTATTATCAGTTAATGATTTTAATAAAGTTAATTAATATTTATCTTTCAAAAAATCGACAATATTTTTAATAAGATCATAAAACGTATTTTAGAGATAAGATCTTAAAATAATTTAGAGATCTTTGAAAAGATATTATTGATATATCAAAACATTTTTTTTGACTAATGTGATAAGTTTTGTCTTTATCAAATGACGAATATTGGTTCAACATATAAAATGGTAAGAAACCTTACTTACTAGTGCTTTTATCATTTTAAACATTTTTTTCAGAATAATAAGTTATAAACAATAATAAACATATCTTTTTTAACTTCTGATTATAAAACCAATTTATTTTGTTGAGTTTTTTACTCTATCAATAAATTGGTTTTTTTAAATCTGCAACATAGTTATAAAATCTTTTACATTTACATCTACTTTCAAAAACGTTGATTTTGAGAGTCTAAAAATATCAGAGATCTTCTTCCATTAGGCTGTATAATTTATTATATTCAAATTATTATTATATTGTGTGTGCGTGTATGTGCGTGCGTGTGTGTGTGTGTGTGTGTGTGTGTGTGTGTGTGTGTGTGTGTGTGTGTGTGTGTGTGTGTGTGTGTGTGTGTGTGTGTGTGTGTGTGTGTGTGTGTGTGGGAGAGAGAGAAAAATGAGAGCGAGAAGAGGAAGATAATTAACATTCCTTTAAAACTTGTTTTTACTTGAAAAATAAATGCAAAACATAAACAGTTATGAAAAAAATAACTGTAAAAACAATTAGATTATTTTGTTCCATATCTAATTATTGCGAAAAGTTTCATACCATACATATTCTATCTTTAAAAAAATTGGTTTAAAGATATCATAAACTCAGATTAGTTTTTTTTTAAGAGTGTTTTTCAAAATTGTAAATAGATTTTAAAATTCTGAAAAACTACTTAAACAAATGCGTATATCTATACCATCAAGTTTTATAAAGTCAAAAAAGTTATGTGTAATTTACTTTTCAACAGCTGCCATATCTTAAAATTAGACTTTTGAGACTTTGGAATAGGTAAATTTTATTTAAACTTGCCTTAGTAGAAAATATATATTGTTAAAATAATATGTGCAATATTGGGTATCTTATTGAGCATTGGATAAGATATACAATGCTGCACCAAAAATGGTAAAAAATATTGCGCTAATATTGTCATACCAATGTTGGAAAGTATTAGCATGCTGATTTTGCTCTTACATTTTTTCTTATTTTAGAATGCCAATAATGGAGTTGTATTGGCATGTTTATATTGGCCAATATTGATATACCAATTTTGTCTCATCAGTTTTTTAAAATTAACAACATTTGTTGTTATACGCGTACGTTACGAAAATTGTTAAGTAATAAATTGATGTGTTATGTTTTCATTAATTATGGGCTTTTATTAGTTTTTTAACTGTAGCAATTACTCTGAGAACAATTTTTTAAAGAAATCCGTAGGTTTTAATTTAAATTAATTTAAAGAATTAAAAATAATATATATTATAACTTTAAAAAATTTCAAAATATGCATTTTAATCTTAGTTGCGTTAATTTTCGCTATAACTTTACTTGGTCATGTCAGGGTTGCCATATGGTGTTTTTTAACGCCAGATTTCTCAAATCTGGTTTGTTTTTTTATCGCTTGACATTTTTGTTTTGGTTTATTTTAGAAAATCTGGTTTAAATCTGGTTTATTTTAAAGTCTTTGTTCTTTTATTGTTTTTTCTGTTATGTTTTTTAAAATCTGATTTATTTCTAGTATGTAAAAAGGTAATTCGAAAAAAAAAAAGATTTTCATTTTTTCATTTTATAGATGAACAACCAAGTTTAAAACAAATAAAATAAATGCTTACATTAAAATCTTAAAACATTAAAAAACTTTTACTTGTAATGTCATGAAAATGTTGTTCTTATTCCTTAATTGCCAAAAATATTAAAAAATTCTTACATTCAAAATGACTTTTTTTGAGAAAAAATCAACCTCCCAGACAGCAAGCTTACATTGGACCAACGTTGGGCCAATGCATGATGATGCATTGGCCCAACGTTGAAAGTCGATGTTGGCCCAATGCAGGTTTGATCATTGGTTAGGTATTGGCCCAATGTTGTGTACAACATTGGCCCAATGTTGTATACAACGTTGGCCCAATGTTGTATACAACGTTTACCCAAAATTGGCCCAACGTTGTATATAACGTTAGGCCAATGTTGTATACAACATTGGCCCAAAGTTGAATACAACATTAGCCCAATATCGTATGTTATATATCGGCCTAACGTTTTATGCAACATTAGATCGTTGTTACAAATAAGATGATTTGCATCGCTACATTGAAAATTTATAGAGAAAAAAAAGAATGTATGATACAAGTATAAAAATTTATTTAAGATAGTTAATCGGTTAAATATACATACCCAGACAGCAAGCTTACATTGGCCCAATGTAAGTTTTAACATTGGCAAGTTTATTCCGTTGGACCAACATTTAGCCAATGTTTTTTTTCGGCGTATTTTTTTAATTCTGCAAATCTGTTTTTTGCAAATTTCGTACTATATTGGGCCAACATTTAGCCAATGTTTTTTTTTCGGCGTAATATTGCAATTTACAAATCGGTTTTTTTCAATTATCGTACTACGTTGGGCCAATGTAGTTTAGGCTTAATATTTTGCTGTTTTTACATAATACCGTAGCCAATATTCGGCCAATGTAGTTTCGGATTAAAATATACTTTTAAACATTTTTTAAAAATGGTATCGTTTGACAGAATAAAAAAAGGTTTTGATACTATTATATATCTTTCCATTTATTTAAATTATGAAAATAAAAAAAAGAAGCTATATTTATTAATCTAATAAGAAGTAAATTTTATCTTCTAATAAGATTGTTAATCTTCTAATAAGAAGTAAACTTCAAGAGATTCTCGTGACTTAATGTTTTGTTTTTTTAAATGAAATATTTGTTAACATTTAAATAATATGCTTAAAACATTTTTTACTACAATCTAAACTATTAATGTAATAATAAAGGCAATAATCAAATTATTTTTGCGTAAGATCTTAAAGTTATTATTTTTTTTTTTATTGCTGTATTGGCATTTCAAATGTTTGTTTTATTTAATAATCTTTATTAAATTTAATTTATTAAATGTTATTATTATTTTATAAAATTTATTTTTATTATTTATAAATAAATAAAACATTTCAAATGTTTGATTTATTTAATAAAGAAGACATTTTAAATGTCTTCTTTATTAAATAAATCAAACTTTTAAAATGTCATACAGTATAATTTTTTTTTGCATTATTTATAATACTTTAGATTATATAGCTATTATGAGATATATTATTAAATGTATCAATAATATATATGTGGCATTGAAGTTGTTAGAAGCTGATATTTTACATTTTAAATATGTCTCTTTTGTTTGATTATGAAACCCTGTCTACTAACATATTAAAACAGTGTTCAAAATGTGATGTTACTAGAACTTATATTCTACTTATGTAGAGCTTTCTAATATTCCATCTTTCCGAGGCAGAGGGACATTATTCTTGGTTTAATTATTTTTTAATTTAATATCTCTGGATATTTTTCATATTTAGTTTGCGTACATCAGTTAACAACTTTAAGCTTATACATTAACTTTAGTTATAACTTAATTAATAATGATTTGATTTATAGATTTTTAAAGCAATACAAAATTGAATTTAGCATAAGGCTAAATTTTTGCTCTGGAGACAAAAAAGGAAGACAGCGAAAATGACCAGTCAAAATAAAGATTGAAGAGACAAAAAATTGTGTATATCTTGGTGTAGATGATTTATCCTCATTTTTTAATAATAAAACAAAAAATATTATTAAACTTTGGGATTTACCTGTAACTCCAAAATGTTTGCTCTGAGAAGTTGAATGAACAAATTTATTAAATGGTAAGTGTCTAATGATTGAAAATCTTTTTCATAGCTTTAACTTTTTTAATTTTAAAAACTTTTTCATATATTACGGTCAAAAAGTCAGAGTGTTAATTAACATTTTAGTATGTAATAATCAAAATATCAAAGCTTACGCCACAGGCTTGGTCAGGAAGCGGGAGCGATCGCTCTCGAATACTGACCACAGAAAATATATTTAGTTGCGAAAAACTGGCCAGGTTTTTTAGTTGTTTTGAGAACATTTAAGTTTATGAACGTAACAAAAATTTTTTGTTGGATTTCAAAGTTGGTGTCACCAACTTTGAAAACCATTTGAAATCAAATGTTGAAAAAAACAATAGTATTTGTATTTATATCAGTATTCATATCAGTTTAAAGTTTTAACAGTTGCTGGTGATTCATTATTATTCATTATATAAACTTTTATTTAAATTTATCTAATAGACAAAGGTAATACAATATTTTTATAGATGATATTATTTTTAAAAATAGTGTTATTATAATTCAGAACTAAAATATGTAAAAAAAATTATTTACAAGCATTGGACAAGGTCCGTACTGTACCTTGAAAATCTGGAAAATTTGTTAGTATTGGCTAAAGTCGTGGAAAACCTTGAAAAGTCAGGAAATTACTTTTTTCTTTAGATAGTCATGGAAAAATCAGTAATTCTAGTTAAGAAGTTACTCGTTTCACAAATGAACGCTGTATTTTGAAAACGTGATGAGTCACACTTTTTTTAAAAGAGAGGTTATTTGAAAAAAATATTCTTTTCAAATAACCTCACTTAAAATAAAAAAATATTAAGATAAAATATAATTTTTTGAGACAAAATAAAGATTTTTTTAGATATAATAAAGATTATTTTAGATAAAGTAAAGATTTTTTTAGAGAAAAGAAACAATTTTTAAATAAAATAAAAATAAAATTTTTTACAGGACAAATGTTTTTCCCTCCCTTGTAAAATTTTAATTTTATGACTTGTCACATTTTTAAAATCCAACGCTCAACTAAGCTATTATGTTTTTTTGGTGCTACCCATTTATTTTTTTTGAAACATGTTTTTCTTAGTGTTTATTCATAGTCATCATTGAAGTACAACTTGGTAAACTACAAAACACATCAAATTCAGTTATAAAAATTTGAGTAACAAAGGTATACTAATTATTGTATTGCCTGAAAGAGTGTCATTGCTATTAAAAGCAGTGAAGAATTCAAGTACTCTGGAAGAAAAGAAAATACGTAAGTAAATGGTAAATATTTTTTAATAATTTTTTTATGCATTTTCAATGATATCTCTAAATAAAATACTCTTCGAAGATTTTTTGTACATTACATTTTATATTACTTTAAGTCTAAACTAAAGTTACTTTAATTATTGCCAGGTTGTGTATTTTTGCAGGTCAATTATTTGGCACAAATCGGAGTTAAAGACAAAGGAGATTGTATATTTTATTTGCTAAGAATAGTTTTTTAAAATGGCCTAGTTGTAAAATTAAACTATGCAGGGAGAGGACAAAAAATTGGAATAGAAAAAATGTTGATTGCATATGCTGCTATTGGTAAGTGGTTTAAAAAAGTTTATTTTTTCAGTTTCAATTTTGCATTGCAAACTTTCAATTTGATATGTTTCTTTGGTGCATAATTAAACAAACTATTTTTTTTTTTTTTTTGCAGAAACTGTGAAGTCAAATAAGCATGGCTTATGCAGACATGTGATAGAGATAGAGGAAGAAAAAATAATAATCGTGGGCATCAAATATCATAAGCTAAACACTATTCAATAACAAGTAGCTCAGCCAATATCAAAACTACTCTATAAATTTTATTGTGAATTTTTTTATTTAAAACTCAATGTGTCAGTTTTTGGTTTAAGTTTAGTGTTTGCAATATGTATATTTAACAAATAAATTATGTTAAATAAATAAATTTTTATACTTGTATCATATATTCTTTTTTTTCTCTATAAATTTTCAATGTAGCGATGCAAATCATCTTATTTGTAACAACGATCTAATGTTGCATAAAACGTTAGGCCGATATATAACATACGATATTGGGCCAATGTTGTATACAATGTTAGGCCAATTTTGTATAAAACGTTGGGTCAATGTTGTATACAACGTTGGGCCAATGTTGTATACAACATTGGCCTAACGTTATATACAACGTTGGGCCAATGTTGGGTAAATGTTGTATACAACATTGGGCCAATGTTGTACACAACATTGGGCCAATACCTAACCAATGATCAAACCTGCATTGGGCCAACATCGACTTTCAACGTTGGGCCAATGCATCATCATGCATTGGCCCAACGTTAGTCCAATGTAAGCTTGCTGTCTGGGTATTGCAAACACCAAACTTAAACCAAAAACTGACACATTGAGTTTTAAATACAAAAATTCACTATAAAATTTATAGAGTAGTTTCAATATTGGCTGAGCTTCATGTTATTGAATATTGTTTAGCTTATGATATTTGGTGCCCACGATTATTGTTTTTTCTTCCTCTATCTCTATCACATGTCTGCATAAGCCATGCTTATTTGACTTCACAGTTTCTGCAAAAAAAAAAAAAAAATAGTTTGTTTAATTATGCACCAAAGAAACATATCAAATTGAAAGTTTGCAATGCAAAATTGAAACTGAAAAAATAAACTTTTTTAAACCACTTACCAATAGCAGCATATGCAATCAACATTTTTTCTATTCCAATTTTTTGTCTTCTCCCTGCATAGTTTAATTTTACAACTAGGCCATTTTAAAAAACTATTCTTAGCAAATAAAATATACAATCTCCTTTGTCTTTAACTCCGATTTGTGCCAAATAATTGACCTGCAAAAATACACAACCTGGCAATAATTAAAGTAACTTTAGTTTAGACTTAAAGTAATATAAAATGTAATGTACAAAAAATCTTCGAAGAGTATTTTATTTAGAGATATCATTGAAAATGCATAAAAAAATTATTAAAAAATATTTACCATTTACTTACGTATTTTCTTTTCTTCCAGAGTACTTGAATTCTTCACTGCTTTTAATAGCAATGACACTCTTTCAGGCAATACAATAATTAGTATACCTTTGTTACTCAAATTTTTATAACTGAATTTGATGTGTTTTGTAGTTTACCAAGTTGTACTTCAATGACGACTATGAATGAACACTAAGAAAAACATAAATTTCAGAAAAAATAAACGGGTAGCACCAAAAAAAACATTTTAGCTTAATTGAGCGTTGTAATTTGAAAATGTGACAAGTCACAAAATTAAAACTTTACAAGGGAGTGAAAAATATTTGTCCTGTAAAAAATTTTATTTTTATTTTATCTAAAGATTGTTTCTTTTCTCTAAAAAAATCTTTACTTTATCTAAAATAATCTATATTTTATCTAAAAAATCTTTATTTTATTTTAATATTCTTTTATTTTAAGTGAGGTTATTTAAAAAGAAAATTTTCAAAAAAATATTCTCTTCAAATAACCTCACTTTAAAAAAAACTGTGACTCATCACGTTTTAAAAATACTGCGTTCATTTGTGAAACGAGTAACTTCTTAACTAGAATTACTGATTTTTCCATGACTATCTAAAGAAAAAAATATTTTCCTGACTTTTCCAGGTTTTCCACGACTTTAGCCAATATTAACAAATTTTCCAGATTTTCAAGGTACATTATTTTTAAAAATAATATCATCTATAAAAATATTGTATTACCTTCGTCTATTAGATGAATTTAAATAAATGTTTATATAATGAATAATAATGAATCACCAGCAACTGTTAAAACTTTAAACTGTATGAATACTGATATAAATACAAATACTGTTGTTTTTTTCAACATTTGATTTCAAATGGTTTTCAAAGTTGGTGACACCAACTTTGAAATCCAACAAAAAAATTTTGTTACGTTCAATGTTCTCAAAACAACTAAAAAAACCTGGCCAGTTTTTCGCAACTAAATAAATTTTCTGTGGTCAGTATACGAGAGCAATATATGGAAAAGTTTTTAAAATTGTAAACGTTAAAGCTATGAATAAAGATTTTCAATCATTAGATACTTACCATTTAATAATTTTGTTCCTTACTTCATTGAGCAAACATTAAACTTTTGTAAAGATTTTGGAGTTACAGGTAAATCCTAAAGTTTAATAATATTTTTTGTTTTATTATTAAAAAATGATGATAAACCATCTACACCAAGATATACGCAATTTTTTGTCTCTTCAATCTTTATTTTGACTGGTCATTTTCGCTGTCTTCCTTTTTTGTCTCCAGAGCAGAAATTTAGCCTTATGCTAAATACAATTTTGTATTGCTTTAAAAATCTATAAATCAAATCATTATTAATTAAGTTATAACTAAAGTTAATGTAATATAATAATGTAATAATAATAAAAGCCTAAAGTTGTTAACTGTTGTACGCAAACTAAATATAGAAAATATCCAGGGATCTTAAATTAAAAAATAATTAAACCAAAAATAATGTCCCTCTGCCTCATAAAGATGGAATATTAGAAAGCTCTACATAAGCAGAATTTAAGTTCTAGTAACATCACATTTTGAACACTGTTTTAATATGTTAGTAGATGGGTTTTCATAATCAAACACAGAAAAAATCAAACAAAAGAGACATATTTAAAATGTAAAATATCTGCTTCTAACAACTTCAATGCCACATATATATTATTGATACCTATAATAATATATCTTATAATAGCTATATAATCTAAACTATTATAAATAATGCAAAAAAAAAATATACTGTATGACATTTTAAATGTTTGATTTATTTAATAAAGAAGACATTTAAAATGTCTCCTTTATTAAATAAATCGAACATTTGAAATGTTTCATTTATTTATAAATAATAATAATAAATTTTATAAAATAATAATAACATTTAATAAATTAAATTTAATAAAGATTATTAAATAAAACAAACATTTGAAATGCCAATACAGCAATAAAAAAAAAAAAAAAAAAAACTTTAAGATCTTACGCAAAAATAATTTGATTATTGCCTTTATTATTACATTAATAGTTTAGATTGTAGTAAAAAATGTTTTAAGCATATTATTTAAATGTTAACAAATATTTCATTTAAAAAAACAAAACATTAAATCACGAGAATCTCTTGAAGTTTACTTCTTATAAGAAACCTTTTAAGATTCTTAGAAGATTAATAAATATAGCTTCTTTTTTTTATTTTTATAATTTAATTAAATGGAAAGATAACAGTATCAAAACCTTTTTTTGTTCTGTCAAACGATACCATTTTTAAAAAATGTTTCGAAACCAAGGCCTTCTTAAACAGGCCGCGACAGCTCATTTTCCGTAAAATTAGCGAAGGCCGACTTTTTTACGAAGGTCCTCTTAGTCTTCCCCTGTTTAAGGAACTGATCAAAGTTCCATGTTTTTGAAACATATCATAGGTGTCTGTTTTTTCTAAAATTGAATGTAATTCTGGAAGTTTGTAAGCAATAAAACCTGCAATATATAAAAGCCCTTGTTTGTATTCATTTGGCAACTGATCCTCACAATTTTCACATGTTGACATATTAAACTCCACATCCAGTTCACATTTATCACAGTGGTGTTGAGCAAGAGGAAATATTGTAAAATCTGTATGCTTGTCTAGCAAATTTCTAGTTTTGTTGATTTTAAATTTTTGAATAACATTTTGCACAGTTATCAGATATGTGCCATCTGACCCTTGCCGATATTTCCAAGCTGTTTTTCTAGTGCATCTGATTGCATATGTCCTAACAATACATAAGATACACCGCGATTCAACAAATACTTGGCACAGCTTGCTAATCTTTTAGAAGTTTTTTGCAAAGCACTTGCAGTATCCATTGTTAACTTTTTCTCTCTTAATTTTGAATTTACGCATTTCAACTTTTCAGGAAAATACGAAATATAGTTCTCTAAAAAATCTATTTGACTGAAGTAATAGGCTTTCTTCAAATATCATTTAATCTAATATCTAGACCTTTTGCTTTACTGTTAACAATAAGCCACCATTTAACAACTGTTTCAATAAAAAGTGCAGTATCATCAGCTTCAGGAAATTTTACACGTAATGCTGCAACTGTTTCATCACAAAAAACTTTTAGAACTAATATAACATTTTGTCGTTCAATTTGTTTTGGTGACACAGCTTTTTGTGTTAATATAACTTGCTTGCTTAGAATCTGTTTCATTATTAATAACATAACTAACAGCATTCTCCAGTTGAGAATAATATTTAATAACTCCTTTGTTTAAAAAGGACAGTTTAATGATTGTAAAAGTTGGCTATATTCAGTAAAATAAATATCTCCAGAATCTTCTAAAGTTGTATATATTAAAAACTTAGGTACTGGTCCACAATGTTCATATGATATTAAAGATATATTTTTTTCTTTTTCAACAAAATAGAATTTTTCTTCAGTTATTTATTATTGACTTCAAATTTTTTACAATTGAATTAAATTGAATAACGTCCATTTTTTTGAAGTTTTTGAACTCATCAGGTAAATTATTTCTTTCAGAGCATATTAACCCAGTGACATCTCGTTTTCTAGACACTATTGGAATACAAGACACTGGTATACCTTTAAAGACTGATGGAGGATGCACTGGAACAAAACTACCACCTTTGACTTTTTTTAATTCATGCATCTTTAGGCCAGTGCTGAGCACAAATTCACTTATAATCTGTAAACACAAAGTTTGCATTTGGAAGTTTTTTAATCCATAACTCGCGATCCTCGGATTTAAAGGAGAATCTATACATTGTGACATAAATATTATCTTTTACTTTTGATTTGTAATTTGAGGAGCAACCATAAACGCAGCATTTAATTAGGCATTTTACGAGTTTAACTACTATAGTTTAAATCAAACAACCAAAATCCTCATTGAAACTATACTTCTCCGTAAAAAAGTCGGCCTTCGCTAATTTTAAGGTTAATAGTGTCGGATTTAGTATGGGTGTTAAGTAGTGAACTACTTTCCCCACAACGCTTTGAAGGCTGAACTGGCCAATTATACATTGCCGTACTAGTTCTTTTTTTTCAACCTTCTTCTCTTGCAACTTAAATTTTCATATTCAAGGATGAATCTTTAGATAAAAAAGCATTTTTTCTAAAATATAAATTATAAACAAGACTTTAAAACAAAATGTCTCAGAAATAAATGGCTGAGACGGGCAGGTTAATATCGACTCAAAAGAAATTTTATTAGAATTTAAAGATTTTTATAAAAACTTATACAAATTCAAAGAAAACGACAAATCTTCTCAAGAATTTTTGTTCTTAAACGCTAAAGTTAATAAAGTTACTAAGGAAGAAAATAAAACGACAATCAAAAACTGGAGACCCATATCTTTAACAAATGTAGATTATAAAATTTTAACAAAAGTTTTGGCCAACAGGTTCAAAGATATTTTACCAAATATAACACATAGCAACCAAACTGCTTGCTTTCAAAACAGAACAATATATTATAACCTAAGTTATACGAGAGACAATGTAAGCATTGCTAAGAAAAGCAGGTTCGACGCTTGCATTCTTTCTATGGATCAGGTGAAAGCTATTGAAAGGGTTGATAGAGCTTTTTTTTTTGATAGTTTAAAACAATTCGGATTTGAAAAAACATTTTTATCTTTTTTCAAAACAGTCTATAATAGTATAAATGCTAAAGTAAAAATAAACGGTTTGTTATCAGAAAAAAATGATACTTTAAGAGGAGTAAGGCAAGGATGTCCTTTGTCAATGATATCGTACATTATACAGGCAGAAATATTTTCATCCTATGTTAGACAAAACAAAAATATTTAAGGCATACATGTCAAAGAGAGCGAAACAAAAATACAGTAATGCGCTGATGATACGAACTTCTTATAAATCGGAGATGATTCCATTCGAGAAGTAGAAAAAGCCTTAAAACTTAACCAAAAACCCACAGGCGCTTAAATAAACGTTGCCAAGTGTCTAGGCATATTTTCAGTAGGAAACACACTGGAAGGAGCCTTTTAACAAGCTTTTAGAAGCAAATAAATAACTTTTATTGGGGAGGAGGGGGTGGGGAGAATATGAAGACTAAACAAAACAAAAACACAACAAAAGACAAATGAGGGCGGCGCAGGAGTTATCAGCTTAACCAACAAACTTAAGGCCATACAACTGCA